CCATCCTTGTATCAGATCCTAGAGTAAGATGAGCCATAATTCTCTTTCTTTGCCACCCTGTACACCAGAAAGTCCTCAACATGAACTAGAAGAAAGACCAAGAGTTCAATTGTACCAAACTCCTTAAAGTGGTTCTAAAGAGCTGGTCCTAAGTTTGAGTTAAACCAGAGAAGTGGGTCCCACATTCCAACAAATACCCTAGAATAGTTCACGCCAGAGCTTGGACTCTGAAGACAAGTCCTCATGAAAACCTTCCCACCAATCCTTCCCCCTGGAAATAACTTTGAGAACAATTACTCTCAGGAGTTACTGGAAACCCTCAGGGCATCACTGGAGGCAGGTATAAATGAATGTCAACAATTACTCAGTCTTTGGCCTAAATGAAGACCTAGGGAGTTGTATTTCAAGAGCCTTTATAACCTAGTGAATATTTCCATACTGCCTCTATGCTATGACTCATGCTGCTCCCTTGAGGAGGAACTGAGAGGATTCATCTTTGGGGTCCATTCAGGAGAGCTCCAGCCCCACAAGCCCTGCCCAAGGTTGGGAAACTCAAGGATAGTTTCCAACCATCCTGGCCTTGACTCCTCCACCTCAGGAACAGTGAAGCAGGGACCAGATCTCCAGACCCTCTACTGACTCTTTCTCCATCATGCTCCCAAAAAGCATTAAGAGAAGTTAGACTGTCTGGCTATAAATTTCCCATTTGTGGAGGGAGTGTGAAGGCCCAGGGCAGCATGCAGCTCCGCACAGGCGCCTCAGGTCGGGCTGTGGATATTGGAATTGGAAAGACAGTCTAACCTCAAGTATAGTTACCTTTTAACTGATCATTCATTTTGTGCCAGCAACTACATTCCACGCAGTAACTCCACTAACCCCAGGAGGTAAGTAGAACTATTATTTCATTATATCATAGGAGGAAATGGTGACATGTATTGACTAACTTAAACAGAGGGACATGATGGCAAAGCTGAGACTAAATTCCTGCCTGATTGCAGAACTCAAATTCTCAACGTAGGAAGCGACAAGACACAGAGAAAGTACACACAAACTCCCCTCCTCTCCTCCTCATGTCCAGCATCCTACTTTACTTCCTCCTTACACAACAATCCAGCATCCACAACTGCAATCATGAACCAGAGCACGCAGAAAACAATTCTGACCTATCTGCTCAGGCTCTTGATTATGAACATGTAATCAGTCTAAGAGATTCTGAGATTTCTCAATCCTAAACTGTACCTCCTGATGTAATATTGTGAGTAAGTGTGTATTTGTGTATGTGTGTGTTTTAATCAATGTGTAGCTATCCCTGCACCCCAAAATGTTGACCTACTGACCAGTAATTTAATTTTTGTGTCCAAACTCCTGTACATATCTCTATTACCTGAAAAGGATAATGAACTCACATGCACTCTATTAATTCTTAACACGTAACGAATCAAATACAACTACAGTACAGAAATGAATAAAGTGCAAAACCCTCTAAAACATAATCCAAACTTCTCTTCCAGGCTGATTTCTTCCTTCTCCCCCGCCACTATACTGCCCTGTTGACAAACATGCTTTTGCCTGACTGTGCAATCTGAACTGTTTGCCCTTGGGTTTTTCTCCTTAATAAGGGACTTGGGCTTCATATATTAGGCTTCAGACAAGGAATTATCTTTAAGAGACAAACATAATTGCATTTGCATTTTGTAAATATAAATTTGAATCCAAAATAAGGTATTTTATTTGAAATATTTTCTTATTTATGGTTACTTAAGAATAAGACAGTACAAAACAGCAGTAAGTTTGAAAATAGTGATTTATATCCAAAAAACTTGCAAATGGTTCTAGTTTATCATGAGAGTCCCTTGGATTTCCTTCATAAAATTACTTTCTGTGAATCCTACATACTTTGTTCTCTCCTTTTTAATCCTTACAAGGCAAAATATTTTCTAAAGCTCTTTTTTGCAAGTAGGGTAAGCATTCACGTGATTTATGCAGAGATCTTACTTCTTGAGGATCTCCTGCAACAAAGAAGTATTACACCCAATGCCAGCCTTGTGGATCTACTTCTGATGTGGAAACCCCAAGGAGCTATGATGGCCTGAAACACTTGCTCTAAGCTTTCACTTTGTTTCCATATCTGTTTTTGCTGTGAGTTTCCATTGAATCATTTCTGACTCTTAGCTACCTGACACACCACAGAAGGAAACACTGCCCAAGCTTGTGCCCTCCTCACACTGTATCAGTCCTTCTTGTTGAGTTTTCCACTTTTTGCTCATCCTCTAATGTACCAAGCATGTTGTCTTCCAGAGACTGACTACTCGATAACATGTCCACGTATGTGAGAGGAAGACTCACTGTCCTCACTTCGAAGAAGCAGTCAGGCTGTATTAGCTCTAAGACAGATTTGTCTGTTCTAGTACCCTATGGTATTTCAATATTCTCTGCTACCATTCAAAGGCATCAACTCTTACCCACTTTTCCTTATTCCTTGTCCAGCTTTGACCTGCATGAGGCAATTAAAAAGACCACCGTGGCTTGGGTCAGATTCACCTTAATGCTCAAAGTGACATCTCTCCTCCTTAACACTTGGATATTTCTGGTTTTGCTTTTAAGTTTGCCTATCAGTGAGCATTTTTTATTTTTATGTTTGATCTTTAATGGCTGTGATAAGTTACGATGTATCATGTTGAATGAAGATGGAAAAGGACATTTCAAAAGAAGAAACCAAATCCCTTAAATGGAGAGATGAGAAAGCACATCATGCTTGGGGGAAAGATAATTAGACTTGTATCAATTGTACCTAGCATATAATTCACATAGACTCTAGGAAACACTGCTGTTGTTAGGTGTCATCTAATTGGTTTCAACTCATAGAGAGCCTGTGTGCAACAGAATGCGTTACTGCCTGGTCCTGCGCCATCGTCACAATTACTGTTACGTGTGAGACCTTGGTTTCAGCCACTGTGTTAAATCCTCTTGAGGGTCTTCTTCTTCTTCTCCTTCCTCTTCTTCTCACGCTCTACTTTACCAAGCATGATGTCCTTTTCCAAGGACTGGTCTCTCCTGAAAATGTCCAAAATATGTGAAGCAAAGTCTACCCATCCTTTCCTCTAAGGAGCATTCTAGTTGTACTTCCTGCAAGACAAATGTATTCATCTGTCAGTCCATGGCAATTTCAATATTCTTTGCCAGCACCACAACCCCAATACATTATTCTTTGGGCCTTCCTTATTCGTTGTCCAATTTTCACTTATATATTGGGTGGTTGAAAATACCATGATTTGGGTCAGGGACACGTAGGGCACACAGTGACATTCTTGCTTTTCAACACTTTTAAGTGGTCTTGAGCAGAAAATATGCCTAGTGAAATATGTCATTTGATTTCTTGATAGCTGCTTCCATGAGCATTGATCCGAGCAAGATTCAATCCTTGACAACTTCGATCTTCTCTCTTTTTGTCATGATTTTGTCTACTGATCCAGTTTCATGTTGGTAATCCATATAGAAGGTTGAGTGTGTCCTAGGTCTTAATCAGCAAGTGCTTAAAGTTCTCCTTGCTTTCAGCAAGCAAGGTTGTGTCATCTGCAAATAGAAATTTGTTAATAAGCCTTCATTCAATCCTGATGCCATGTTCTCCTTCATAGAGTCCAGCTTCTCTGACGATTTGATGACTTGCTCAGCCTACAGATTGAATAAGTTTGGTGAAAAGCCACAACCCTGACCCACTACTATCCTGATTTCAAACCATACATTATTGCCTTGTTCTGTTTGAATGACCGCCTCTTGGTCCACGAATAGGTTCCACATGTGTGCAATGAGGTGTTCTGGAATTCTTAAAATAAGAATTGGTCACTGAACTGATGACAGATGGAAGAAAGCATCGAGTAGCTTCTCTTTAGAAAAATGATCAATCTGCTTAAAGCTATCGAGAGCCCAGTCATCGTGTGTTGTCCCGTGGGTTGCTATCTGCACGGCCCACAAATCAAACTCACCAACCTCTCTGTGGGAGAAAGATGAGACCATCTGCTTCCACAAAGATCTACAGCCTCAGAAATCCTGCATGAGGTCACTCAGAGTCAGAATTGACCCCGTGGCAGTGACAGGGGGTTTGGGTTTGGTTTTTAATGCAAAGGTTTCAGGGGTTATTTTTGGTGATAAGTAGCTCTGGAGGTGTAGTAGTTATGCATGGACTTGATGGCAGTGAGTTTGGCCTTTTCTTTTTTTTAGCTCCATCATTCACCCTTCTGCCATATACATCCACTGGTAAAAGGGGGGAGAGTGTGGGGAGAATTCAGAGCTGGATTGGCTGGAAATCAGTCACATGACTAAATAGCACTACAGGAGAGCATGTGGAAAGTAGTCTAGCTGGAGTGCCCAAAAAGACAAGAATAGCATTGGTTGAGGTGAGCATCTAATTGTCTCTGCCACAATGCCTGTGGTTCCAGGGTGCAAGATGGATCAGAGGGGGAACATTTTGTCCAGGAAACAAAGGAGGATTACAATATTTGAGGCAGAAAATTATGATGTCTGCACAAAACCATGGAGACTCTAAGTAGAAAATTGGGCCAAGTTAAAATTATTTTCAATGAAGAATCAGCAAGATCAAATGCAAAGGTGAGGAGATCTCAGGGTACGTGTACCTGTGTGCACTCCAACTATGGGGAACTCGTGGAATAAGCCTGTATTCAACTCAAAAAAATAGTGAATGCAAGCTTGTAGGTATACACAATGAAAAATGTCCCCACAATAATTTCTCTGCAAGAGATCAAAAAACAAACAAAAAATGGCTTTCTCCCTAAAAGAGAAAAAGGTTTTGAATTAGCTACACATTTCTAAGGAGCACTGTTCAGCTGACTTCTTAGAGAGACACATCCAGGGATGACCAAGAATTAGATGCACTAATCCAAAGGGATGCTTCACACCAAATAAGGGCTCTGTCTGGGTTTCACAAACCTAAGTGGAAAGAGAGTTGACCTCTGGAGTCACAGTGGTGAATAAGAAAGACCATTTCACACAATAACTTCACTAATAATTCTGGATTCTCTTCCCTTTTCTGACAGAAGGACCATGAGGGAAGACAACCAGTCCTCGACCCAGGGGTTCATTCTCCTGGGAATTACTGGTCAGCAACAGCAGGAAGATGTCTTCTTCATCCTCTTCCTCTTTATTTATCCCATCACATTGATTGGAAACCTGCTCATCATCTTGGCCATTCGCTCTGATGTTCGCCTTCACAACCCCATGTACTTTTTCCTCGCCAATCTCTCCTTTGTTGACATTCTCTTCTCGTCTGTAACCATCCCTAAGATGCTGGCAAACCACCTCTTGGGCAGCAAAACCATCTCCTTTGGAGGATGCTTAGCACAGATGTATTTCATGATTGCCTTGGGTAACACAGATAGCTATATCTTGGCCGTGATGGCATATGATCGTGCTGTGGCCATCAGCCGTCCTCTTCATTACACAACGATCATCAGTCCGAGGTCTTGTGTCCTGCTTGTTGTAGGGTCTTGGGTGATCGGAAACACCAACGCCCTCCCCCACACTCTGCTGACAGCTGGTCTGTCCTTCTGTGGAAACAGGGAAGTGGCCAACTTTTACTGTGACATTACCCCTTTACTCAAGTTGTCCTGTTCTGATATCCACTTGAATGTGAAAATGATGTACTTTGGGGTTGGTGTTTTCAGTGTGCCATTGATATGCATCATTATCTCCTACATCCGGGTCTTTGCCACTGTCCTACAGGTCCCATCCACCAAGGGTGTAGCCAAAGCCTTCTCCACGTGTGGTTCCCACCTCACAGTTGTATCTTTGTATTATGGGACAGTGATGGGCATGTATTTTCGCCCTCTGAGCAGCTACAGCCTGAAGGACGCAGTGATAACTGTGATGTACATGGCAGTGACCCCCATGCTAAATCCTTTCATCTACAGTCTGAGAAACCGGGACATGAAGGCTGCCTTAAGGAAACTCTTCAGCCGTAGAGTGTCCACATAGCCAGTGTGAGGTGATACATTTGGGAAAGCACTCTCCCAAAATTAAGGATCCACCCAAGAGTCCATCCTCAGTATCGTACGCTCTAAGAAAGCATCATTGACCTTTTCAACCAGGAATGCATCTTCTCTCCTTACTCCAATTTGATGAGCTATCTTATCACTTTGCATGCATCATTGCATGTTTTGGCAGTGTGCCAACTTGTGTCCTATTCAGGTTGCAGCTATGCTAGTGACTATCAGTAGAAAGCTGAGAAAGTCTGACCTTAGGCTGCTACATCTACATACTGGGAATAACCATCTCGCCCTGTATCTGCCATGGATTTAAGAGAATCACATTAGCTCATGCTTTGAAGCTATAAATCACTATTGAAGTGCTTATTGCACCAGTATGTTTAATCACCCACACTATGCTTGCATACTTTGGCAGCAGGAGCTGAAATAACACAACAATGGTCATATAAAGTCATCCAATCACGATTGGTGGAAAGAAGGATGAATTCATTAAAACACATATCTCTGAGCATGGTCAGACATAATCAGAAAGGAGGGTTCCTGAGTGGTGCAAATGCTTACCGCACTCATGGACTCACTGCAAGAAAGGTTGGCTGTTCACACCAATCCAGAGGTGCCCTGGAAGAAAGCCCTGGTGATCTGTTCCGGAGAAACCAGCCACTGAAAACCCTGTGGAGCACAGTTCTGGCCAGGCACTAATGGGATTTCCATCACTCAGAATTAACTAGAAGGTTTTGTATTGTTTTATTACTATGACTATTATTATTTTAATGAGCCTGGAGATCATTTCCCTGTCTATTGTCAAGAGATCGGAGGATATGATGCATTAGGTAAATCTGCTCCACGGGACCTCGACAGAATATGGAAAAGCACGGATGTTACTTTGAGGATTAAGGTGTGCCTGACCGAACCCAGGCTATTCTCTATGGCCTCATATGCTTGGACACTGAATAATGAAGGCTGACAACGAATGGATGCATTTGAATGTGGACAGTACCATGGACGGCTAAAAGAAATCATCAATCTGCCTTGGAAGACGTACGGCCAGAGTGCTCCTTAGAGGCAAAGCTGGTGAGACTTTGTCTTACATACTTTGGACAAGTTGTCAGGAGAGACAAGGGCCTGGAGAAGAAAGACATCATGTTTGGTAAAGTGGGGGGGCATCGAAAAAGAGGAAGGCCCTAAAGGCGATGGATGGACACCGTGGCTACAACAATGGGCTCAAGCGTAGGAACAATTGTATGGAGGGCGCCGGACTGGGCAGTGGCTCGTGCTGTTGGGCATCAGGTGGCACTCAAGGGCACCCAACAACAACCTTGAAACCTTGACAAGACCCAATCCTGGAAGATACGTGTATTCTTATGACAGATAAGCTATATTGTCTCTAAAGATCATAAAAACGTCTTGCTAGGTTGAGAGCCATCAATAGATTTATATGGCATGTTAAAGTAAAATAGGCATGACATTCTGATGTAATTAATTTACCACAGACTTCAGCTGGTTTGGCAGAATACTGCAGTACCGAGTAACAAAAAAAGCAAAAAGATCTGTAGTGAAAGTGGTGTGACTGCCATTCTCCAGCAGAGCCTGGAGCAGGTAAGGTTTATATCTTGGGTAGATAATAGTCCCCCAAACAGAGGTAGTTATCCAGCAGGTCACTAAAAACCCACAAAGGAAGCCCGCTCACTATCTGTGGTTTGATTCTATTTATGAGAGTGTTAACCTTTAAAAATATATTTATAATATATAAGCGATCATTCATAAATCTTGTTTTTCCAAACATAGAAAGTGATTTTATTACCTGCTACTTTCAATTTCCAGGAAACATATAGAAAAAATTATTTTCTATAGATAATTCACATTGCCAAGAATCTTCCCTTGAATTTGAATGATGACTATATTCACCTTTCAATGTTTTCCAGTACCCTAAGACACTCATAACCAAAACCAAATCCACTGCTTACCGCGACCCTATAAGACAGGGTAGATGTGTGGGTTTCCAAGACTGTAACTCTTTATAAGAGTAGAGAGCCTGCTCTTTCTCCAGAGGAGCAGCTAGTGGTTTCAAACTGCTGGCCCTATGGTTAGCAGTCCAACCCCCTACACTACCAGGACTCCTGTTCCTAAGACAATAGCAGTGAGGATTATTGTCATTATCTCCATTTTAACCAAAAATGTTTTGATTACAAATGAATATGAATCTGTGTAAGTGAGTGACCAGAAGATGGAGTGAATGAAGACATTCATTTAGGGAAGTTTCAATGGTGACCCCCTCCTCTCAAAAAAAGATTAAATAGATCTATTTATTGTCTGACTTTCTTCTCAAAGATGTAAAGGTCTGGGGTACATAGTAGTTATTTGGTCTGTTTGTCTTAAATGAATAAATTAACCTGCAATAGTATGTCTGAACAGTGAGTATATCAATATTCTTTTTGCTGAAGGCAGGCAAGGAGGCCAAAAGGTATGAGCTATTTCCCCTAGTGAAATGTTATGTGCCAAAGAAACTAGTGTAAAGAAGAGCTGAGGAAGTAAGAGATATTTAGGAAAAATCCATATCACTCAACTGTGACATCAACATCACCTTATTCCTTCCCTACTGCACAGTCCACAACAAGCATCAGAATCGGCGTGTATAACTGGTTGTAATTTAATCGCAAATAAAATCCATTCACCCATACACCGAGTCACTTATTGGTTGCCTCAGATGTCTTCTCTTGATTCTGCCAAACATACCATCCTGAAGTAATTTTTTCCTTAAACTGTAATTTCATTCATTTCAGGAATGTGGCTACTCCTCAGGTCCTGCGGCACCCAGGAATGACTACATCAGGAAAAGGCTATGTGTCATGTGTGCCCGTGAAGGGCCAGCCAGGACACGGAAATCACTCAGTGTTCTTAAACTTAACAAAGGAAATTGGGCACACAGGTGTATTCTGAAAGAGAAAAACAAAAAAAGGAAAGAAAGTGAAATAACCTAGAAATTATTAACTGCAAGAAACCCATTCCTCTAGATCTGGAGGGGGCTGTGAGGGGGATGGAAGCCAAGGTGTCACCAGGATCTCAGAGCTCAGAAGGATGGTCACTGGCTGACATTCAGCCCTCGGTGGGGACATGTCTAACTGCAGGTACTTCATCTTTACCTGGGGAGGTGACCCACATTTCCATTCCTGAAGAGATTTGAGCTCTCAAGAGGACTGCCTTTCCCCCACCTTTTTTCACTTACTGTAGTTTCTAGCCATCTTTCCTGCTGCACAGGGCAAGTTACCTCGGAGACTCTCCTGATTCCAGACATCGTTCTTCTTGCCCCACTGAGCAGCAGCTACTCAATTCCACTCATTAATTGGGCTCAATCCCGCTAAATGGTAGACCCAAACCACAAACTGGCTGCATCAAGCCAATGCTAACTCAGAGTGATTCCCTGTGGGACTCTGAGACTGTATGTGTTTATGGGAGGAGAAAACCCAGTAGAAAGCTATTGGTGGTTTCAAACTGCTGACCATGTGAATAGCAGCCTAACCACTACACCACCAGGATGCCATCGAAGTGGTAGAGATATCACATTTTGCTCCTGAATGGCCTACAGACACATGCAACACTTTGTTTGACTCTTGGCAACCTAAGAGTAAACTGAAAAAAATAAATATAAATCCCAAAAGTTTGGTATTGGTAGCCTTTTAAAAAAGTTACTAAAAACAAATTTTGGAGAAATAGACATAGGTGCAAGAAAAGTGGATGAAAACAAATAGAACCAAGGGAAATCTAAGCACAGAACCCATGGATGTTTATGACCCTAGTACCCCAGTTCTAACTGGGGTGAAAGATGATAGATAGATAGATAGAAAGAAAGATAGATAGATAGAAAGAAAGATAGATAGATAGACAGACAGATAGAAACGGAGATGGACATAGAGATATATGTACAAAGGGAGTTCAAAAAGTGCATGGAGTAAAAGATAATGGCTTTTTCCCACTAACTTTCAGAAGTCCCTCTCATATGTATGTTCTCCCTGAAGCAATGATAAGAGTGTGTCTTCAAAGATTGGATAGCGAGAGATCAGTAAGGGAGAGTGGTAGTGACGAGAGACCAGGCAGCCCTCAGGACAATGTAGCAGTAGAAGGGCAGCGAAGATAGGTAGTCCCTTGATGAGATGGACTGACACAGTGGCTGCGACCATGGGCTCAAACGCAGCAATCATGAGGATGGCGTAGGAGCAGGCGGTATTTTGTTCTGTTGTGTGGACGATCGCTATCGGTTAGAATCGACTGGACTGCACCTAACTACATACAAGAACCATCTAGAGCAGCGGTTCTCAACCTGGGGGTTGCGATCCTGTAGGGGTTGAACGACCCTTTCACAGGGGTCGCCTAATACATCCTGCATACCACATATTTACGATGCATAACAGTAGCAAACTTACAGTTATGAAGTAGCAATGAAAATTATTTTACGGTTGGAGGGTCACCACAACATGAGGAACTGTATTAAAAGGTCTCAGCATTAGGAAGGTTGAGAACCACTGATCTAGAGACAGTAAAGATAGAAAAAAAGGCTTTAGGTGTTAAAGTGACGTAGAAATAGCAACAGCCAAAAGTACTGATATTTTGACAAGAGTTAACATGGAGATGAATGTTTCGAGATTGATTCAGGAAAGGGAAATGGATGCCTTTAATGAAAATGTGAACAAGAGGATAATTTAAGAAAAGTGAGTCCTATTTTCAGCATGTTTTCATTGGTTCCTGTGGGACCATCTCAGGAAGTTCTTCAATGAAATGAGACTTTGGAATGAAATGAACAGAACATAAATCAGAGGGCATTGATAAGTACAGTTATGGAAATAGATTTTTTAAATCATCTATGAGTGTAGTCAGAATCTTGCAGAAGGACTAAAACTTTGAGTCAGGGCACCGTGGTGAAGAAGGTGGATTGGGGGACATGAGAAACTTGCACAATTTAGACTTGATGCTGCCACACATCACACTGTGTGTCTG